CCATCAACTTACATGAAAAATAGATTTAAAAAAATTATCCTGATTTTTATTCATATATTATATGTCAATGTTAAGTAATAACAAAGATGCCTTTGCAATAATGTCCTCAAGAAATCTGGAAAAAAATTTTTTTGAAAAACATCTATGCAAGCGATATGCTGATGAAGATTCTGATGAAGCCATAGTTGTAATCAATGCCAGTAGATCCAGCTCTTCTGTCGCCCCCTAGTAGTCAACAGATATAAACTTTTCAGTCAATGTGAAGGTGGAGTAATTGTAGTTCTATTGTAACTTTCAAGATGATTTTCTCCTTTAGAATAAAACTTGGGAGATAATTGTTTGAATTTTAAAATTTATTATAAGCAGTTAAATGCAGATCAAATATGGGATTCATTCCTGCCAATATCCCCTTCCTTTCCTCCTTCCATCTCAATTAAAACTAAATAAAATGCATGCTTTTCTCTTCATTTGACTCACAGTAGATAGGAAATTTATACAGCTCTTGAGCACATGTAGGCAAACATATAATGAATTATCATTAATGTTACATTTCGTCAATGTATTTTTAACTTCTCTGCAAAAAAATTCAGGAGTAGAAAAAACTACTGGACACTGATTTTTCTTTTGCTTCTCTCAAGTCATCTGCTTTTTAATGCTAATTTTATATCATTAAAATTAAAATAAAAAAATTACTTCTGATGTTTATAGTTCAAAATTGTTGCATATCAATGACAGAAAAATGTTCATTTTCCTGCAAAAACTCTTAATAATGACTTTTTTTTCTGTTGTAGCTTTAGCATTCTACTGGTGTTGCTGAGAGGTTTAACTTAAGCTTTATTTGACTAAACAAATAATGTGATTCCATATAATGTTTTTTTGAAATATATATTTATGTGGCTGTTTTTCATAGAGACAAAACCACCCCCGAATGTCAATCTTGTGGTATTCCTCTAACAGTAAGCTCTAAAGGGCCCGTTTCATGACTTTATTGTTTTAAATAATTGTTCTGAATTAGGGTTAAAAGGAAACTCTGACTTTTATGTATTTTTTAAATTTCATATAATTTGTATTCATTATTAGTTTTGTCAGATTCAAATAATTTCTGTCACCATTGTGGGGTTTTGTTTAATTAAATAATGGATAAAAACAATATTTCCATGTGTTCGTGTTCATTAAAGCACAAGTATTAATGATGGTTGTAATCATATTCAGAAAATGTTCAAATTATTATTATTTTAACTTGTTTAAACGTTTTTACAAACAGACAACCAAATTTTGGAGACCCAAATCCCCCAAATCTGAATTCCTAATTTCGGGGAGTGGCAGGGGATTCGTTAGGGCATTGCGCTTGGAATCCAGAGGTTCTGAGTTCGAGCCCCGATCGCACAGACTCCCACTCTAGTCTCTGAGCAAGACCTTTAACCCCACACTGCCACCTGGGCGCCGCACAATATAGCAGCCCACTGCTCCCCAAGGGGATGGGTTAAATTCAGAGAGTGGATTTCTTTTCTCTCTACTCGTGGCAGTGTAACAACAATAAAAGCTGGGGGAAAAAAAAGACCCAGTGATACATCATACAACAAGAGCTTGTGATTAAACATGACGATTGACTGAGTTAATGATCAGCCCACAGGAAAAGCTGATGGAGCGAAACAAGAGGAAATAAGATTTAGAGGGGCAGTTTCTGGCTTTGGCTAAGGAGGAGAGATAGGGGATGGGGGCTAACATCTAGGGCGTCAGCAGGGTGGGGCAGGGAGAGATGTATTGGGGTTAAAGGACCAAAGCATCCATGACTGGTGGTCCCCAGCTGATGACGCGCTCAAGGTCAGAGGTGTAAAAAGAACACTTGTTTAAGGCACTGGTGGAGGTGCGTCAGGCTGCAATGCCCAGCCGGTAGAATATCACCCTGTATTTTTCAAAAAAAGCTTCACTTCCTTCCTCTCAGCAGCTGTAAGACTCTAGAACCACCACTGTCCCCAACAACCTCAATAAGTTGTTACATTCATACTGATTTTGCAAAGTTTCTGTCTTAGTTAAATAACATGCTGCTGTCATTTTTGCATATCTCTGATGTTGCTGTTAATTTCTAATATCCATTACTGTAAAAATGTCCATAGCTGTATATTGGCTATTTATTCTCCAGGTGCACAGAATTTTTTATTTTTTGAAACACTTTACACACTTTAAACATTATATTTTAATCCTTCATTATTATGTAATTTTTATAATTTTTTCTAAGGTCAATTTTTGTGTGTCAATTATTTTCTATAATATTTTTGCTCCTGTAAATATCAGAATTTCTCCTTTGTGGGGCAATAAGAGGATTTCCTATTCTATTCTATTACTATATAAAGGCTATGCATTTTCATTTAACAGTTTATTTATTTTTGTTCTTCTGCTATTTTTGATATATATATACATATATATATATACATATATATATATACATATATATATATACATATATATATATACATACATATATACATATATATATATATATATATATACATATATATATACATACATATATATATATATATATATATATATATATATATATATATATATTTGTATTTATTGCACATTTCTCTACCTTTATTTATTTTTGACTATCTGCACAGCACTTTAACTGAGCATAATGCAGCTTGCAGTGTATATTGATGAACTTTCACTTAATAAACACTAAATGGCGCCATAAAATCGCTGTGAGCCTGGTTGATTTGACTTTAAACAACAGGCACTAACATTTTTCTATTCATAACCCTTTGATACATTTCCGATGCGTTTTCTTTCTTTTTTTAGGGTAACAGATCATATTTTCAACTCTTCTCTAAACTATTGATAACTTTTCAGTTTAACAGTACATTTCTCTCCGCACAGTTCCCCTCACTGAGACATCTGAATTATGAGATTTCTTAGGTTATATAAAGAAATATGAAAAAATCTGTATTTCATATGTCAAGGTCAAATTTTTTTTAAGAGTCTCTATGAAGTTGAAAAAGGGGAGTGCAAATCCCCAGAGGCGTAGCCACAAATTTTTTTATAAGGGTGGCCAGGCACTAACCAATGTGTACTGAGGGATGACCAAAAGTGGATAGGCACCAGAAACCCGGGGTCAATCTAAACTGATCCAACAGGAACAATAACACCATCCACATTTCTAAATAAAGACAAACCATAGTTTCAAATGTGATTACTGTGGAAAATATGAAACATTAGTTATACTGGAATGTCATAAATACACTATATTGCCAAAAGTATTTGCTCACCTGCCTTGACTCACATATGAGCTTAAGTGACATCCCGTTCCTAATCCATAGGGTTCAATATGACGTCGGTCCACCCTTTGCAGCTAGAACAGCTTCAACTCTTCTGGGAAGGCTGTCCACAAGGTTTAGGAGTGTGTTTATGGGAATTTTTGACCATTCTTCCAGAAGCGCATTTGTGAGGTCGCACACTGATGTTGGACGAGAAGGCCTGGCTCTCAGTCTCCGCTCTAATTCATCCCAAAGGTGTTCTATCGGGTTGAGGTCAGGACTCTGTGCAGGCCAGTCAAGTTCATCCACACCAGACTCTGTCATCCATGTCTTTATGGACCTTGCTTTGTGCACTGGTGCACAGTCATGTTGGAAGAGGAAGGGGCCAGCTCCAAACTGTTCCCACAAAGTTGGGAGCATGGAATTGTCCAAAATGTCTTGGTATGCTGAAGCATTCAGAGTTCCTTTCACTGGAACTAAGGGGCCAAGCCCAGCTCCTGAAAAACAACCCCACACCATAATCCCCCCTCCACCAAACTTTACACTTGGCACAATGCAGTCAGACAAGTACCGTTCTCCTGGCAACCGCCAAACCCAGACCCGTCCATCAGATTGCCAGATGGAGAAGCGCGATTCGTCACTCCAGAGAACGCGTCTCCACTGCTCTAGAGTCCAGTGGCGGCGTGCTTTACACCACCGCATCCGACGCTTTGCATTGCACTTGGTGATGTATGGCTTGGATGCAGCTGCTCGACCATGGAAACCCATTCCATGAAGCTCTCTGCGCACTGTTCTTGAGCTAATCTGAAGGCCACATGAAGTTTGGAGGTCTGTAGTGATTGACTCTGCAGAAAGTTGGCGACCTCTTCGCACTATGCGCGTCAGCATCCGCTGACCCCGCTCCGTCAGTTTACGTGGCCTACCACTTCGTGGCTGAGTTGCTGTCGTTCCCAAACACTTCCATTTTCTTATAATACAGCTGACAGTTGACTGTGGAATATTTAGGAGCGAGGAAATTTCACGACTGGATTTGTTGCACAGGTGGCATCCTATCACAGTTCCACGCTGGAATTCACTGAGCTCCTGAGAGCGACCCATTCTTTCACAAATGTTTGTAAAAACAGTCTGCATGCCTAGGTGCTTGAATTTATACACCTGTGGCCATGGAAGTGATTGGAACACCTGATTCCAATAATTTGGATGGGTGAGCAAATACTTTTGGCAATATAGTGTATGAAAGCAAAAGAGATATAAAGGAGGAGAGAGTTTGAATTTATTAAGGAAAAGATTCATTTATTAGATATTTTGAGGAAGAATTTGGGAAGTAAACATATACAAATAATTGTTCGATTTTTAGAAGAAAAAAAAAACTAAATTATTTCATAGAATTTGATTATAGAGAGGGTAAATGTGTTTATGATACAGACGGGTAGAATACATAGTTATGTATAAGTATGTAGTTATTTCTTTTTTTTGTTTGTTTTGTTTTGTTTTTCCTTAGAAATTATAAATATGTTTATCAGTAGATAGTTCATCACGAACCACATTCCATACCAGTAAGTGGCAGTAAAGCTACTAAATGTTTGTTGCCAGTAAATCCAAGAAGAAGAAGCAGTCCGAAATGTTCTGCAAAGCTTTGATCCATGTGCCTCTCCCAATATGGCGACTGCCTCGACGTACGACTGGCACGCTGGCTCCTGCGTCCCTCCTCTACGCAACTTGAAGCGAAGGCGGGGTGAAAGAAGCCGAAGCTCCCGCACGCTGTAACGGGACGACTTCAGGAAAGAGCAGGGAACTTTTTTTTTTTTTTTTTTATGGATATGAGGATTTTTTTCCTCCGGATAAACCGACCTGCCAAAGGAGAACAACGTTTTGCAAACAAACAGGGAGGCTTTTGAAGAGATGCTCGAGCTTAATTAACCCTGAGTGGATCTACAGCTTGACTTGCCAAAGAAATCAAAAATGCGAAGCGCTCAATGAGCAGCGGAGCTCAGCGAACACCTCCAATGTTCACCTTTTTTCTGGCACTTTAAAACAAATTTAGATATATTTGTATCATTTTTCCTGTGTTTAAAAACAAAACAAGATGGCAGAGCACGAAAGCTTGGAGTTTGGGAAGGCAGACTTTGTGCTTTTGGACACCGTATCAATGGAGGAATTCATGGCCAACTTAAAGCTCAGGTAAGCGGTCAGTCACCTTTCAGAAACCCGCTTTGATGACTGAGTGCCATTTAAACGTTGACACTGGTTAATTATTTCCACTCAAAAACCAAACTATAAGAAAGGTCGGACCGAATATCAACAGGTGTTTAACAATATTTCCTTTCACACCTGTGAACACCTCTGGCACACAACCAATTTAGCTTCACGGGTTATTTTTAGTCCTTTTCACGTATTTGTTTGATCATGATTGTGACAGCAAATGTTTCAGCGAACAGGTGAAATCATATTTAAAAAATGTGAGACTCCACCCAAGCTATTCAGGCTGTCTGGTAAAGCCTGATGTCAGGCTTGCTCCCTGATGGAGGAGGTAACTTTACTCCGTCCAGGTGGGGCTGTGGCTCCTTCACCATCTGTGATGAAAGTGCAAACTGATCCCCAGTGTCGGTTAGAGCTTTTAGTCTCCAGTTCAGCAGCAGTGAACAGTAAAACAGGAGGGTTATTAGTCGTTGTTGGGGATTAATCTTCAGGGCTGTCAACTCTCACCCATTGGGAGTGAGACTCACCAGAGGCGTAGCCAGGAAATTTTTAAAAGGGTGTCCAGGCACCAACCAATGTATACTGAGGGGTGGCCAAAAGTGGATAGGCACCAGAACCTCGGGGTCAATCTAAACTGATCCAACAGGAACAAGCTCAACGTCCATGTTTCTAAATAAAGACAAACCATAGTTTCCTGCAGCCTTTGCTAACAAATAGATGCATTTATTTCAACATCCGTCTAGATCGGAGGTAACCAATAAAAATCAGCGGGGTCCAAATAAAGAAAATCATCAACCAGTAAAGGTCCTGAGACATTTTTTATTATAGTCTGTTACTTTAAACAGAATTTAACAATGAAATAAAATTAGGTGTTTATGCATCCATGTTTTATATTGAATTTTTACATAAAAAAAAGAAAATTTTTCCATTTTAAAATCTAAATTGTTTTTTGAAGTAAAGAACAACAATCTTTCAGTTTGGTATATAGACAATTTCCCGATTAACATATTTTTTTAAAACACCTGAACTGACTGTTTGTTATTTATTTATTTTTTTGCTTAATGAGAGCAGTGGGCTTTAGGCTGCCCTGCAAGGCTTTAAACCTGGGTTTGAATGGCGACAAAGCCATTCTCAAGCACATAACAAGGTGCTCATTTTGAGCCTGAATCCATATTTATTTTTGATTCTGTTTATGGTGGAGAATCCTGCTTCACAGCAGCAGGTAAACCAAACATACTCAAAATTTTCATGGTCCGCCAGGTCAAGATCCGCTATTCCAATCGCACCAAACAGGAAAAAGATCGGCGAGAAGATCCGTATTGTCAAATTAAAATATATTAACAACAGATCGGTAACTTCAAACTAGAGTATAATTCTTATATACTTAAAAAAACTAACACCGTTTATTTAAAAGATTGGATGCAAATTATTGGTGCTTCAACAGACCAGGAAGCAGATTTCTGATCTACATCAGAAACTGAACATATGCTGGATGCTGATGGGGATTATTTAAATATGTCATATTAAATTAAGCGTTCATTTCTGCATGTTTTGCTCCTATGAATTTAATGATAATATTGCGCATGCTCTGCTCAAGCTCCAAAGATAAGTCGGAGCGCAGCAGGACAGGAGGAACAGTGGAGGCTGTAGGCTTTACTTTTCAGGAGGTCTGGAGCGCAGTGGTGACGGAGGATGTGGGATTTCGGGTTAACAGGAGAAGCGGCGCAAGTGAAGTTAGACAGCACCATCAGACAACTTGTAGTAAATTATAAATGTTTTTTTAAAGCTACAGTGTGTAATAATTACAGGGATTGGGGGGGGGGGTGTTCATGTTGCTGCGCTCTGCAGTCTGGACGTTAGATGTCGCTGAAAATTACACACTGTAGCTTTAATCAGGTTGCGTCCGGATTAGCCAGCACCTCTGGTCTAGATAAAAGCTATATTGAATAAAATTCTTTGAGGTTTAAGTTCTGGAGCGAACATCTTTCCCATCGTCATTACTTACCTACTTTTATCAATATCATTCTACAATAAATTGATATTTATATGTACTAATATCTCCATAAATTGATAAGTTAATAGGTTTTTTTTTTAATATTTATTTACAGTATTTATGATTTCACTGAAGACTCTTAGATGACTTGCAGAGACATCATTTTCTCTCTATAGCATATAACACTAAATCTAGTTCTGAAAGAGCATGAATTCTCTACTAATCATCTCTAATGTTGGTATATTGATGTGCATAATTAACCACAGTGCTTTTAAAATGTTTTGAACATTCTACTTTAGAGAAACAATGGTTGGGGCGGCCAATGACTGGCTAAGGGGTCCTCATCTAGCTCCGCCCCTGAAACTCACCCATCTCAGTGTCTTCACACATTCTCACTCCATATTCCCAATTTCTTACACTAAAAAAATGACAGACATTAATACTCAACTGAGTCTAGTTTAATAATCTCCCATTGGAATTTAGGAGTAATTAAACCAACACAAACATTTTAATTCTTAAAGCTTTCAGGTTTGCCTCTTAAACCCATAGGAGGTCCACAAAAAGAACCATTTAATTTTATTTTTCAAAAGATCAGCCACCCAAAAAAATACCTAATTCATTCAGAGAGGATGTGCTGATCAACTCAGTTATCCTGGATTCATAGAGGAGAAACCACAGGGATGTTTTTCTTTTATTATTACTTATCATATGCATTTATCTTTGTTTTGGTCCATTGAATATGTTTAAAAACTTAATTTCCATAGCACCTTCCAAACTGAAACATCCAGTGGATTCAATCAGATCATGCAGTCAGATTGGTAAAATGTTTCATGTCATTGACTTTGCAAGATATGATACTGGCTTGCATTTTTTCCTTGACTCCTCATTAATCCCTCACACCGAGCATACATGCAACGCCAGAGGAGAGGAAAAAACACAGTTTTAACAGGAGAAAAGCAGGCTCAGTGTAAGTGGCCTTCTGCTGAGACCGACTGTGGGTTCATGGAGACATGAGCAGACATCTGAAAGGAACATAAAAGCACCAATCTATAAATACTTTTGATGTTTGTAAAGACAATTAACAGTTAACTAGCTCCACAGGTGGCTCTGTCTAGGAAAGAACCAGTTTAGCAGATGATGAGCTCTGAGCCAGTTTTTATTGTCAAGGGGATTAAAGACAGCACATACCATTAGGGGCCGAACTACCGGTAACAAATACTGCAGAATTGGAGAATAGAGACAGTAGATCATTATTATAGATCGTTTACAGGATTTTCAATTCTGTTCTGAATTTAATAATATAGAATGTAGATTAAAAATTTGGTTCAACTAAGCATTGACCCGATGGGATAGAAAGCAAATGCACAAAGACTTTTTAGATTTTAAATTTGTCATGATTTATAAAACTATGTTTCTTGCAATTTTACCAGAACATTTTAAATAAATAGAACTGCAAGTTATAGTCATTTAATAGGTATTTCAAATCAAGATTAAAACCAATTTATGTATTATTTATTAGTAGTAGAATTATTCTAACTGAAGTCTGAAGTCTTCTCTTACCCAAGCTTTGACTCCTGGACCTGCTGTTAAAATCCAGTTGTCTTTCACAAATTTAGTTATTAAGACTATGGTTATCAACAGAGTTACTAATCATCCACCAAAGGAAATTTTCTGTTTATCCAAGTGTTAACCAAAAGGTTGGATCTGGCTCTGAGTAATCGTTAATAATCACAGAAAACCACACTGAAAAATATGGGTCTTTTTTATTACCCAATGATCCCTGTTACAGTATTATTATTATGTCTAATAAATATGCAAACACTAATAATAATATTTAACTTTATTGACCTCACACTGAGGAAATTTATCTCTGCATTTAACCCATCCCCTTTGCGAGCAGTGGGCTGCCACTGTGCGGCGCCTGGAGAGCTGTGTGGGGTCAAGGGTCTTACTCAGAGGGGGTTTAAGAGTCTGTCCTAAAGTCTCCAAGGATTGTTCAGGTTCAAGGCTTTATGTATTCATACATTTAGCAGCCTATCAATGCACTAAACAACTGATGCAGAGATCTTAAATCAAATCAAATAGTGAAACTTATTATTTTTTACAGTGAATAGTGAAAAATGACTCTGAAACATATTAAAATGTAGCAGCACTTGAGCAAACTGAGTTAGCTCAGATAGCGCCGGTTGGATAGGCCAGGCTACGAGGTGGAGCTCTGCTGGGACAAAGGATCATAAAACAACCTCACTGTTAATGTTTAAATGGATAAAGATTTCTGTTAAGACAAAAAAAAAAACTTTAAAACACCAGGCAAACTCCAAAGTCCTAACTTTACATGTTTAATACAAAAATATATCGTCACTGAGCTGCAAATTCAAACACCTCTTGCTTCCATGTTGAAGGAAATGCTATGATTATATGACAAGGACCACACAGTATGAAGCAATAGCTCAAAATGAAGGGATTTTACTACCACACACCATTTGAAACTCTTTGTTAATCAACTCAAAGAAGAAACCGTTGAAAAAAATGTTTGAAACCTTCTTTCCTGGCTCTTGAACACCATGAGTCGTCGGACTTCTCTAACGTTTGGTAATGGTAATGTTGCATAGTCTTCTTGTGGTCTAAAAGTCGTAGGTTTGATGGCAGCTTCCTCTTGTCACATGCCAGTGTGCCCTTAAGCAAGGCATTAACCCCCTTGTTGCCTACCTGGCTGCAGAAAAGCGTGATAGAAATTCAGTAGTTTTCCCTTTATTCCCCTTTAGAAAAGTCCATCTAGTTGAGCATATTTCTTTATGTTTCGCTGAAGTTTCGTTATTATACTCCTTACTTCGAAAACAGTGTGTTCCCTGAGTTTTCTGGATTGACATGAGTAATGGAGCGCAAGGGGAAAGCAAGCTTATTGCACAATTTTTGCAGATGAGTAAAGATTTTAATAGAAATTCATGTGATGCTACTTGTTTAGACCTCTAATGTAAAGCTTCTCTTT